GCTTATATTTCAAAGACATAAGTTTTTATGGATTCAAACTCAGACATGAAAAGAGTACAGATATAACACAGAAACATGAATGATGAGGTTACTCATGGCATAATAAATCCTCTCTTTTTGTTCTTCTCAAATCTTTCTGCGTCCGAAAATTCCAAAGACTCGCTGAACATGAGATCCACTTGACAAAGGTCTTGCACCTCCGCTCACTATGTTATTACTGTATAAAGTTGAGAGTTGTACGAGAGTATTCTCGTAAAACTTAATAGTTAAACAAAAAACACTCAGATACCTCTTAAAACTATGGGAAATACAATGGCGTGATAAGAGCATTAAGTTCTGATATGATAATATAATATTACTTTGTTTAATAGTTATGGCAAGTGCTCAGAGGTGGCATTAAACCACAGGTACAAGATTAGCAAGTGGAAATTAAAGTTAAGGCAGTCTTCTCACTTGATTCATGATTACGGAGAAGAATAATAAATGAGAAAGTTCTTCATCGCCAAAGGTCTATACTTTTTATTCCTCGAGCGTAAAAATACAAGCTATGATTTATTCGAATTCAAATTTTCTTCATTTTAAGTTCCTAGTGGATCCATGAAGGTACGATACTGTAACTGTGATTTGTATGAAAATGTATGTTTTTACAAAACCCCACAGTCAGCTCTTACATTTAGAAGTGTAAGACAAAATCTTTGAGAAAATGACTTGATAAGAATGAAACGACAATTCTTTAATATTTCATGAGTTCTTCAGTTATGATCAATGCTCAGGCGATGTTTTTTTCTAAGAGAGTTAGTTATAAGAGGACTATATTGAATGTATCTGTGCTAAATTACTTACTGAATTTCAGATTTTCCAATTATTTAATCAGAAATTAAATTCTAAAACATAGCTAAATGTCAAGTGGCAAATGTTTGAACACACTTGTCGCAACCCTCGATCCATTGCTCGATTCCCTTCGCTACCACATGCTCCTCATCGCTTTCATCATGCCCTGTCAACACATTCATCGCCTCGCTAATCTTTGTCACGATTCGAGCCCAACCCTATAAATAATCCCTTGACTTGAAGCGAAAGGAGACCCAAAAGGGAAAAAATTCACAAAAATATTTTTTTGAAAAAATGAAAATAATAACTTGGGGTCTTATGGATCTGTTTTGTTATTTTGCTCCATTCTTACTTTGCAGT